TGAGTTATGGTAATTACATCACTTGAGATTTATTTAATATCTCCGTCCAGGAAAAAGAACTAGGAAGTCTGGCTGTGACAAACAATCAGAGGGTACTCAGCTGATGAGCAGCTCCCCATCACTGAGAAAGCAGTAGGAGCCTTCAATGTATTGGATTTAAGTAATGGTTTGCCAGAGGGATGGGGCCCACACCACGGCAATCAAAGCTCCTCTGCACCATTAAGGAGCTGTAAGTGGAGCAGGAGGCGCAATGCAGCTATTGACCGAGTAGGTGGGCATGAAAATGGGTTTAGGTAACTGTTTACTTCCTGAGGGATGGAAAACACAAAGGACTGTTTCTCTGGCAGCTTTCTGGCTCCCTGATCCTCTCTGTCCACATCAGCATTTATATTGTCTGTCTCTCACATACTTGCGCACAATGACCGGTGTGCTGAGTTCAAGCTGTTCAGCTGCAGTCCACATAATGCTTTCCTGCTTGCATTTGCCCTCTCACTATCTCTGCCATTTTTTAAAAATCCCTGAGCTAACAGCATTAAAAAATATATAAAATTTTGCTGATATGATTTTATATCAGGCCGCCACACAGACAGATCAAGTATTGATGCAGCTCTAGCCACTCTTTTTCTTCCTTCCTCCACCCCCTCTGCACTGAGTGATGGCTTGTACAGAGAGGTGAAGAGGAGGCACATGAATAGCAATACTTTTTTTGTCCTTGTTGAGGGAGTAGCTAAGGGCAAATGGGCCCACACTGTGCTTTAGATAACCAGTGTTAGAGTGTCTGCTGTGAGACCGACCCGCAGCCTGACACCTGAATCCTTATATAACAAACAGGCCTGCAGGTCTGCACCGAGATGCCTGGACATCTCCCCAGTCTAATTTCCCAGTCAGTAGCTTGGATGTAAGCAACCAAGAGGGGCCAGTTCTCCACTCATAGCTGATTCAGTCACATGTTTTTATTTCCTTTTTCTGTACCTGAGGAGGGGAGAGGTAGAGTCTGCCAGAGCTGATGTCTCCCAGACTTACCCTCCCTGTGTTAACCCCTTGCCTGTTAGTGGGCTCAGGAGACAATGGATCAAAACTCCCAGAAACAGGTCCTTCTGTAAAAGAAGGTTCCATCATTCGCTGCACACTGCTTCATGTGAAGCAATATTTGGAAGGCTGAACTGGCCTCCTCACAGACCTCCTGACTCTCACTGAGATCTCACCAAAGTGTCTGTACTATTTCCAGTGCAAGCATTTTAAGCAAGGCACCTTGATCCATACCAAGGGGCCTGAATGCAGTATCCAAGTGTGAAAACATTGGCAGCTGTCCCATTTACCAAAAAAAGGAATAATAGTACACACTCACCTCTGGAGCACCTCTGATTTGTTATTTGTTTTATTTATTTTGTCACAATTATCAGCCATTCAACTCTCTGGGCACACAGCCCATACATTAAAACCCAGAGTATAACACAAAGATCTCTTCTACCATGAGAATATCCTTTCTGTAAAACCGGGCATGGGCAGGAGGGAAGGATGAAAGATGCTTTATACAAGCAAAGGATGACAATGTCTTTTTCTCCAATTCTGTTATTGATGGAGCCATTCTGAAAATGTTGGTGACATCAAGACAAGAAGATGAAGCAATAAAAAGCATGGGGAATGGTGGTGGAAAGCCACCCTGGAGCATGGATGCAGAGACTCAGCCTCTAGTCAGCCTGTCTCACACACAGGAAGTCTCTAAAATGCTCTTTCCATTATTATTTCTCAAATGACCCCATTAGACACGTATGAAATTCTGAGAAGCCTTAAATATGTTGTAGACAGCCACACTGGCAAATCTGCCCAGCTTTTCTGAGGAATGACAGGCTGCATTGATGAATGTTTTAAAGCATCCCAATGTGTAATTTATTTCCAGGAAATTAATTGCATGTGCTAGTTTCATTTTCCTGTAGCAAATAATCAGTCAGCTCCTTTTTAATTAGGTAACAACATAGATTCCTCTTCTAATCATGACACGGTGGTTTATGCACATCATGTCGTTTTTTATGGGAAACAATTTCAAAACATTGTCTAGGGTTCAGCACAACTTTTAAGAGACATCAGATTATTTATCAGTGGTATTGCTTAGAAGACCTTGAACACAAGACCAGTTAGATAGCCCAGACTGGGCATCGGTACATGCAGTGGCCTCCTGAAAGAAAAGTTTAAAGAAGAAACCAAATTGAGGTGTCTGAAACGTCAATGGTGTTGACATGATGTCAGACCCAGGCACCAAGAGGTGTGTCCCATCTTGCAGGTATTCACTGGTCCCTGAGCTGAGGCACTGCACTGACATTTTGCATAGACTGTATCAGTAATCTGTATCAATAATACTTTTGGTCCACATCAAACTCAGCACCTTTGTCAGCTGTTCCAACTGGAATGGCAAATACCAAGTCCCAGTGTGTATTTCCAAGTTTCCCCTTGCATTCAGAAGCTGCATGGGTTTGCATGGACACACATAGGAGGACTGGGTGCAGAAAGCTACCTCTGCTGATGATTGTAGAGTAAAGCTAATGGCCTCCAGCAGCTGCTACTTAAAATTTTCAAACAGGCTGAGAGAGTAAAAACTATTGGCCTTAGCATCTCTTCATTACTTGCAGCAAAACTAATTAAGCAATACTGTTCAGTCATATTTACCCTCCACTGGGCTACAAGGAGCCCATATTTCTACTGAAATACACGCTACTGAAACAAAACAAATCTATCAGCGAAAAACGCTGTTGGAGTAAAATGTAATAATAATATCATAGCTATTAGACCGTGAAATTCTCTGCAACAAATTAATCTGCTAGGGAAAACTTTGTTGGTGGGATTTCGGCTTCCTGTTGAGAACCTGTAAAACCCGCACTACTGCCCGAGACATCGCCGCACTCGCGACCTCTGCCTCCTGCCCCTGGAAGTTCCGTGTGTCACAGGTCCCCGCAGCGGCGGTGAGAGGCGGAAGCCCGCCTGGAACATGCCGGGGCGCAGAGGCTTCGCCACCTTCCGGGTGCCCCTCGGCGGCGGGGCCTCGTCCCGCAGGGCCGGGCTCGGCGGGACCGGTGCGGGGCTCGGGGCGGCGGACCGGGGCACGGCGGGGCGGGCCGGGGGCGCAGCGCCGGCGGAGCCGCCCCGCCCCGCCCGGCGGAGCTGTCCGCGCCCCGTGGTGCTGAAGCCGCAGCGCCCGCCCAGCCCCTTCCCCGCCCCTCCTCCCTTCCTCCCCGGCGTGGGCTCTCGCAGGCAGCCGGCAGCCCGGGGCATCAAAGGTTGGGAAGAGCTCTATTCCTCGCTTTGATTCTCCCCTTCTCACCCCGCCTTTTTGCTTCTTCTTTCTCTCTCTTTTTTTTTTTCTTTTTTTTTTTTCCAAGCCGGGGGAAGGAGAAGAGCGCGGCCACGTCCCACCCCTCCCTTCCTGCAAATCCCCGCTCGCACTGCAAACAATCTGCCTTCCCCATTGCATCCAAGGGAGATAGCAACAGCAACATCATCACGGCAAGCCGGATGGGAGAGCAGAGAGGAGGCTGCTGCTGAGGGAGGAAGGCACACACGCACACACCAGCTCGATGTTGCCAAAGCGGTAGGAACCTCACGAAAAATAAGCCATGCTGCCCCATGTGTCTGGCGCATTGTGCTCCATCCGAGCCTTTTAGGAGGAAGAAAAGAATTATCTGCTCCGATTTTTTTTCCCTGCCAGCGAGAGTGCGACAGACTTGCGATGGTTGAATGTCAATGCCTGTGAGAGAGAGCAACAGTCAGAGCAGGAGGAGGACAGAAGGGGAGGAAAATGAAGGTGGGGATGGTGGTGGAGAGAAAGAAGGAGCCTCGTCCAATGCATCAAAAGGAGGTCCCTGCAATTGCTGATAGAGCCCTGACCGCCTCGCCATCCACAATGGTCTGTACAAGCTGCCAATGCGTTTGATGACGTTCCTGTTTTGTGAAAGGAGGAAAGGAAACGTGACCATGTAAGATCCACGTTTCCCCGGTCAATTACATGCGAAGAATAGATCCGATTTCGACGTGGGTTTTTGGTCCAGGATGGTAACAGCTTAGGGAATAATACAGCCGCCTTCCCTCATCAATTTCGCTCCGATTTTTTTTTTCTGTGTGGTCCAGACAGCTGCTGGAATAGAGAAGGTCAGAATATATAAATATATATAAAATATATATAATATATATATTATATATATAAAAATATATTTGTCTCAGTACATCTGGGATTAAGCTCATTGAATGCTAATTATTTCTTTCCGGACTTTTAATATTTACAATGAAATCTTTTAAAGGCTACGGTAAAATCTGAAGCCACCTGGGAGTACAGTGTTTAAAACGTAGGGTGTTTTCCCACAAACAATGTGAAGGTCTTTTTTGTCAAAGAGGCAATTTTGATAATAACAACAGCTACCAATTTTGCATTTTGATAGCCAGACCAGCTGCTATTTTGTCTGGATGCACACCGGGATTCATGTGATAGGGTTTTTATTTTTTAATTGAAAAAAAAAATCATTATAAAATAGAAGAAAAAGGAAAATTACTTGAGATGCCAAATACTGTCGAGAGAACCATATTCTCCCTCCTCCCCACAGCCATCGGAGACGTGGACCCTTCTTTTTTACAGGCTTAGGAGTTGCGAGAGCTCATCGGGGGCTTTCTCCCGAGACCGCCGCCTGCGCCCCTGGACCCTCGGGCGTGGGAGATTTATTTCCTCCTCCCGCTGATTTCTAAGCAAACTTGTGGAGGGGGGGAAAGGATCCCTCGGCAGCACAGGGTCGGGTTTTTTTCTGGTGTGGATTTTTTTTTTTCAATTGCCGTCCCCGCCGGGTTGCAGCGGGTTGCCGGGGACTTCTCCCCCTCGCCCTCCGGCTCTGCTTTTGTGCGTTCCCCGGCGGCCAGCGCAGCCCCCCCGGCACTGCGGCCGCCGCGGAGCCCCCCCGGCCGCGGGCCGCCCGGCTCCTGCCCTTTTCTTTCCCCCGTGCCCGCCTGCCAAGGAAAGGCACATGTTAATACCACCCGGCGCGGGCATTTTCTGCTACTGCTGCTGCGGGCTCCTCCGTCCGAGACAGATGTTGCGAAACCAAGGCCTCCTCAAGTGCCGCTGCCGCATGCTCTTCAATGACCTGAAGGTCTTCCTGCTGCGGAGACCCCCCGCGCCGCCGCCGCCCTCCCCGCCGCCGCCGCTCCCCATGCCCGGCGGCGCAGAGGCGGCGGCGGGGGCCGCACCGCCCGGGGGGCGCGGGCCCGGCTGGCGGGCGGCGGGCGGCGGCGGCGGCGCGGGCAGCCCGGCCGCCGAGGAGTGGGGCAGCCCCGCCGGGGAGCCGCCCGCCTCCCTGCCCAGCAGCACCTCCTCGGATGACTTCGGCAAGGGCAAGGCCGAGGACCGCTACTCGCTGGGCAGCAGCGTCGACAGCGGCATCCGCACCCCGCTCTGCAGGATCTGCTTCCAGGGGCCCGAGCAGGTGAGCGGCCGAGGGCGGTGGGCGCTGGGGTGGGGGCCGCGACGGGCCCGGTGGCAGCGATGCTCCAGTCTGAGGGACCCGGGGCCTGCTGCTTGAGGGGGTGTCCCTGCTGCCCGGAACAGGACCCCAAATCCAGAGGGGCTCTGCCTTCTGCCCAGGCCCGGGGCTCCAGATTTTGCTCATCGGTAGTGTTTCCCAGGGAGGAGTGGGGTGGAGGCGTGCTCCATCCTTTTCTGCTTCCCGGCAGCCTTGTCCCGGGCGCTCATGTCCAGCCTCAGAGCCGTACGGCTCTGGCATGGGAGGAGGGACACGCTGACACCTTCATGGAGCGGAGCACATCTCAGCGAGGGAGGCTGGTGCTTTGTGGATACCCAGTTGCGGTGATTCCAAAAGTGATGCAAAGGAGGAGTTTAATGTGCCCTTTGCTTTTAAAAATACAACTACAGTCTGTACCAAACACGTGGCAGGAGGCAACCCCACTTCAGTGTTTCCCAGGGGATGGCTAGTAGGAACTGTGCGGGTGCTCCACTGCTCCCATGCTCCCAGCAGCACTATCTGCAGGAGGAACACGGATGGCTACAATTGTACCTGCTGAAGCTGCAGCCTTGAGATATTTCATGGTACAGACTGAGGTTAAACCAGTGAAGTTTCCCTCCACCACACAGGAGAATGAAACAAATACAACCATGTTAGAATATAAGATGCCACCCCGGAGCATTATTCTCCATATTTAATGACAATTAAATGCATCTCATGTATTTTCAGGCTGGCAACTTCCTTACAGTCATGTAGCCAGCAGCATTTGTACCTAACATGACACAGCTTGCAGGTGCAAGGAAGGCTGCAGACCTCTGCTTCTGGGATCGAGCCCGTATGTGCAGATAACCATTATTACCCAGGGTAATTCCATTACCTGTCATAATAGGGGATACTTGTATGAGAAAGGGTTGCAAAGTTCAACTTGACTATTTCCATTTTGGACACAGATTGTGGCATGTAAGGTGAAATCTTACGCAAAATGAGTTTTACCCCAGGTGTTCTTTCTCCTTCATGGACCTGTGTGCTCTGCTGAGGAGAAAACCAGTTCTCATTTGAAAGCAGCCATGCTCTGGCACACATCCTGCCTTTCCCAAAGTTGCCTACATCTGTAATGCAGTGATTTTGCCTTCTGTTATGTTGGTTTGAGGATGGTGGCGATGGGTGCAGGAAAGTAGGGAATGGGCTTCCATGCTTCCTTGGAAGCACCCTGCCTTGGGACCTGCCACCAACCTATCCCAATATCCACAACCCTACTGGATGTGTCATACCAAGGGTTCCATAGGTCACAGCTCAGTGCTCCATGGACTGTAGCCTTCTCTAATGGTTTATGCAGCTGGCAGATAGCTGTGAAACACAGTTTTCACCATAGACTTTCAGATGGGAGTGGAGGAAATAATTCTTTTTGGAGATACTGTACACCTTCTTCTCTTGCTTGTCTTGTCCTCGTCTCTTCTAAAAGTTGGAAGCCATGCAATTCACTTCCTGGCAATTTGCATTATTCCACATTTCTAGTACTCTTCCCTGGCTTGCCATTCTGCCTGTGTACACAAGACGTAGCACCTGCGAGATTGGCTTATGTGTCAGAGCAAATAGAACCCAAGCAGAATGAAAATAGAGGTAGCTTGCTTCCTTGGAGAACATTAATGCTTGAAAATAATTGGATGCTAATTTCCACACTGAAAACCAGTGTAGGTTGCATTGTAAAAGTGAGACTATTTGCTGACCATCTGCCAGCCTACCTGAGTGAGGAGCTGAGCAGACGTGACTGGCATCTCATAAGACTTTCACCGGGATTTATCTTTTTTGATTCTCACGGTTTCTGACCAATGCAATAAGATATTTGCAGCTGGATTCTGCTACTCATCCTTGAGCAGTACCTTATTCCACAAATAATTTTTTGTTCACCTGCATTGCCTGAGGAGTATTTGAAACCTTTTGCCCCTGCAGCAGCTGGGAAGCACAAGTCATTATGGAGGCCCAAACTGTGGGATTTTAAAGCACAGTCAGATCCTGACACAGCTTCTGGGGCATACAGTTCAGAAAAACTGAGCACTGAATTGGTGCAGCTGATGTCAAGACCTGCAGTTTGGTTTATTTGGAGCTTATCTCAATAAAACTCCAACAGGGCTAAATCCCACATTCCTTGTTCCTTTTTGTTATGGTGTTTATTACTGGTTTAGCCTTTATTTCCTATTTGTTTTACAACTCAACAGCTGACCAAAGACTCTTCATGTTTTGGACCCTCACAACTGTAGAAGTCATAGATGCACATTATTCTATACCACCCCTGCCAAGATCATAATGAAAATTTATCTGCTTGGAAACAAAATATAATTGCTAGTTCTTTACTCTGCAGATTAATAACAATGACAGATCTAAACAGTATTTTATTTACCTGTCAAAACCATCTGAATTTGCTGCAGCTGTGGGTAAATCTGCAGGGCTGCATCACAGTAACAAGAACAAAAGTCTTCATTATAAATTGACTGTTAGGCGCTCTAAGCTTATTTACTCAGATAAAATGACAGTGAGTCTCCATAAGATGTTTTAATCCTGTTTTGATATAAAAAAATCCCAACTAAAACAACAGCCAAAAAGGTTTAGTAATCTGGCTTCGCAAGTAGGTTTTATTTAATATCTAATGCAAAATAAAATTGGTAGGGATTTTTGCTTTAAATTTTTGATTTCCCAACATGCATGATACTTCAGGCTGCTGAACTGCTTATATCTTAGGCTGCTTATGTTGGTTTGTGGCTCTTATGGGTAAGCTGATTCTTTAATTTAAAAATGTACTGAGGACCATAGGAAGGAGGAAAGCTCATTATTGTGAAACTGTTCTGATCCTTGTGTGTTAGTCAAGAGAAACCAGGGATGTGAGCAAGAAAAGAGTGGATCTGATGACCAGGGATCACAGCATCTAGCTTGTGTTTTGAGGGCATGAAGAGAAAACTTTGCTGAGGTCTGACAGTTGAAAAAGGCAGCTGCTTTCATTGAAAATGAGAGCTCAACATCATGGAAGCTGGGGGACTGAACTCAGCTCTTGGGAATGGCATTTCCTTTCAGGGACTTGCTCGGCATTTTCAAAGGTTTCAATGACTGAACGTCCTGCCACCATTGTGTCAGCAAGTTCTGAGATCCTGGATTGAGCGGCAAAGCTCTGGGGAGAAAGTGAGGAGGAAAAATGCTGGAGTATTTTCTTCTTTTTTGGTTAATGCTTAGTGTTTGCAGAATTTTGTCTGCTTTCCTGGATCTTTGACAACCTTCTGCAAGAGAAAGAAACTAAGATGAGCTCCTCTCTCACAAATGTTTTACAGTATTTGGTATGGTTCCAAGCTGAAAGCAAGTCATGGGGATTAGCAGAAAAAGACATGGGTGAAAAGTCCCCTCGCATCAGGGGATAAACTGTTTGCCCACGTCACAAGGAGTTAGCAGTACTGTGGAGTTTAGGATCTCAGAAGTGGTGCTAGCTGTGCCAAAAATAAATAGCGAAACATTCTTAAATGAAACTGAGATAATTTGGAAAGCCATATGTTTCAAGGTTCACTTGTTACAGTGTCAGTTAGAGTCTGCGCATATCTTTTCTTACCTATCATTTTCAATCTGTGTTTCTCTTTCTCTTTTTTGCTGGAAAGGTGGAGATTTGAAAAGTCAGTAGTGGTAGATTTGGTTGGCTATGGAAGATCAGAGAGAACAGACAGTGGGCTCTTACCTGCAGGTTGATAGCTTGGACTTAACTCAGTATTCAGTAGAAATGCTTGGATGAAGACTATTCTTCTCACAAAATTTCCTGCTAGACTTTTGGGACACCAGCTCCTTAATATGAGAACATGAAGATCTTCAAGAAAATTGGAAGACAACAATAATGGATATTAAGACATGCATTTCTAGGTGATATGTAACTGGGCTGTGGAGCTCTTTGCTGAAGGACAAAGAAAGAGCTAAAGTTTAATGAAGGACTATAAAGCCGTGTGATTATTATGAATATCTAGAGTCATCACAACTAATGATAACATTTCTTGCATGATGCATGTAAAATTCATGCTTCACATCTGAAGCCAATCTGGAGATCAGGGAAAGACTGAGTAGGAGCAGGGCCCTGGATCTGGTGTCTTTCCCCACAGCTCACCAGCCTCCTATGCCTGACCAGTGAGATCCACCCCTGCAGGTGCATGTCTGGATTTCATTCTCATGTAAAGTAATGTCTTCAGTGTGTAGGTGCCCACCATGTTCAGGAATTCCCTAGAATTAAAGTGACCCCAAATTACTCATCCTGGACTAACACACATTCTTGGGGGCCCTGTGTAGGATCAGGGAAGGGTCAGTACCATTGAAGGGCTGGTCATATGCATGTGTTACTTGAAATAGCTACTGAGAATCTCAACCCTTTCCTGGTACAACAAACATGAGGAAAAAGCATCATCTGCTCCTTGCATGGTAAGATCTGCAGAGGAGGCATGAGCTAAGGTTGGGAAATATTGCTGCTGTACAGACTGGTCTCAGCAGCACAGAGGAGTGGAAGAGGTGTCTGGGATGCCTGATTTCTGATTTGCAACGTTGCAAGATTGAGGAAAATTAAGTAGTAGAGTGAGACAAAGAGGAAAAGAGGCAGTCTGAGTCAGAATTCAGGGTACAAGTATGATAATGAATGAGTGGAAGAAGAAACAACTGTGCAACCAGTATCACAAGCATGTCCAAAGCCCAGAAAACTTGCAAATATAGATGCTGGTACTTACTTCACAGAGTCTGTCCAAACTGGTTACACCATCAGGACACTGTTCTCAAACATGTTGAATCACATGACAGTGCAGGCTTCCCATCATGTCCTTTTCATAGTTGTGTTCCTACAGGATTCATTTACTTGGTGTTAGAAGGAGAATCATTCATTAGAAAAGAGCCAGTCCAGCTAAAACTGAAGAATAAGAGATGCTGGAATGCAGCAGTTTAGATTCAATCTATATATT